TAACTGAAAGTTCAAATTTTGCACTTTCCCTGTCTCCCACGTGGTTTTTTTTTCAGTTCTTAACTCAAATCTAAGTATGTAAGTCAAGTCAATATTTTCCTATGAGAGTGGTTCTTAAGTCAAAATGTTCTTAACTCGAGCCGTTCTTAAGTCAAGACCCCACTGTATCAATGTGTGAAGATCTCCCCAAGTCCCAGCTCAACTCGAACCACTATCCTTTGCCATTCCATCTTTGACTGTAAAAGGGAAAACGCTTCTCTGGGGGGGGGGGGGGGAAGAGAACACAGCAAGGAGGAGAAGATTAAAGAGACGGAAACCAGAAGACGAGGATGCCCAGACGGATAAAGTCATGGGGAAGGAATGCACCGAGCCAGCCTCTGTGTGTGTGTGTGTGTGTTCTCTGGAAGGTTGGAGCTACCCAGCCAGAACAACTGAATGAATCACAGATTGGGGGAACAAGAGGCTGGAAAGAGTGCAGACACACAAATGGGAACCCAGGCGTCCTGGCTCACAACCTACCTCTGCTAAGCTGCACCCTCTTCTCTCCCTCCCCCCCCAATCCTCACTGGCTCGGTTGTACCCCAGAAGCCAGGCTACTACCACCAGTCCCTTGGTAACTCCTTTGTTTGCCAATGGAGGGTGGAAATCCTGTGTCCCCCCCCCTTCCCCGCTCCGACTTTGGCAGTCATGCCACTTGCTGTTCAAAAAGAACTTGTTTTAGTCATTCCAGGGGCTTTGAGCCAAGATGAAAAAGCGGTGTGTGTGTGTGTGTGTGTGTGTGTGGAGGGGTGAGGAGTGGGGGAGAGAGAGAGAGAGCAAAGATTGTTTTAAAGGGAGAATGAGTCAGAGAGGAAGAAAAGGGGGTGGACAGTGGCTGGCTTCCAGAACGGAACCGGGGTGGGAAAAGATGGACTCAAGCAATGCCCTGAAACCCTTGTGTGCCAGACAGAAGTTCAACAAGGGAAGTTTCCCCCACAGTTCCGGTCATGGAGTCTCTTTAGACAAATCACTCTTTCTCGGTCTCTCCTCTTCCTTTCCCGGTACAGTTCCGGCCGACCTTATCAGACTGTTGTGAGAGTGACAAATAAGACGTAGGAAGCACTTTGTACCCCCTAGAAAAGCACTGTATAAAAACCCTCTTTCGCGGTCATGATGTTTTATTTTGTCATCATCTACGAAGAGGACAGAAGCTACTCTGGTTTGCCCCCTCTTGTTCAAGGGAAGCTCCTGCGCCTTCACGCCACTCAAAAGCATCTGAAGGGGGGGGGGAGAAGCAACAAATGTTGAATTTTCCTCCACAATTGCTGGTGGCACACAAGCCCTGTCGGAGAAAGCAGTGGCAATGGTCCTTCTCTAACTAACTCTCTGCCACTTGACATCTTTGTAATCGTAGCTGTTTCGGAGTTAAACCAGCAGCAGAAACAGGAGTCTGGATTCTCACACCAGAACAGCTTTTGCTCAAGAGAACATTACCACTAGAGTTGCCATCTTCTTTACTGCACCCTTTTCATGCACCTTTCCATAGACAGACATTAACAGGTGATAGTACCATGCCACTAAAAGAGATAAAAAGAGAAAAAACTTAATAAACCACTTCCTTGGCATTAGGTACAGTAAGACCCCCTTATCCACAGGATCAGGATCTGCTGATTCACTTATCCATGATCTGAAAATATTAAAAATATTGAAAGAAAAATTATCAAAATATATACGTATTACTAAAGATTAAGCTACCAGAACTGGCCACAAGAGGGAGCAAAAGACCATGCTTTGTATGGTGTTGACTATTTCACTGGCGTTTGCTAAAATCTGCACTTTTCAGCATCCACAGGGCAGCTTGGAAACATACAAGTTTCTAAGTATAAGTATCCGCCGTTTTAAGGCATAGGTCAGGTAGCAAGCATTGCTACCAGAACCATGCACACACTCTCAAAATTCTGTCTTACATTGAGAAAATAGCTAGTACAGTACTAGTCCTCATCAGAAAACAGAAGGAACCCCTTTGGCCTGTCAGTCAGTGATTCAACACAACATGCTCCTCCTTGTGGTGCAAAGGAAAAATGTGTTATTCTGACACACGGAGAGCGAGCAAACATGGCTGGCACCTTAGGTTATGAATAGAGGCTATAAATTATAGAAAAAGGTTCCTCTTCCTGGAAAAACTCATCTCTCATCAACAGTCCACAACATAAATTCAACAGGTGAAGCCGTCTGCTCCTCAACATCAACCGTGTGTGTATGTATGTGTGGGAAGGTAACACATGCTGTTAATCTGTGCAGTGTGGCACGGAAAAAAATTCAAGAGTGAGGCAATCTGTGGCCTTCCCTCCAGCTGTGGTTGAACAATAGCTCCCATTGTTCTTCACCATTTTGGACAGGGTGGATGGGAGTTAGAGTCTTGACATAGGCTCCCCGCTTGCCGCTTGGAAAATAATGTAGGGTTGTGACCAGAGAAATCTGAGTTCAAATGGATATTCAGCTGCTAAATCCACTGCTTGGCTTGGCCCATTTGCTGGGCCTACCCTTTGCCAAGAAGTTGTAAGGGGGTGATGATGGCAGAGCTTGGTGGAGCCCTGGGTGGCTGAGAAAGTGGCCCTTGGTAGTTCACAGACTTTTTGAGGCAGACCAACAGATTACACCTCTCCCAAGTTTCATGCCTCTGCTCAAGGGGCTCAAAGCGGTATCTCCCAAGTCCTAGCCCAAATCATCTTGACTAGTCAGTCATCAGAACACTGTGCTTGACAAGTTAGTTAGGCCATTAATAGGCCCAAGGCCTAGTTGTCCACAAAGCCTTACTTCATGGTATCTGCTGCCTCCTTGTGGCTGGTCTGTGCCTCTGCAGAATTTACCAAAAGTTGGCATCCCCACTACCTGTACCACACCTTGTAGCTGCCTATTTCCTTACAAACATCTTTAGAAGAAGATGGCTACAAGGCTGTGAATTCCACCTGCTTGAAACGCGATGCATGTATATCACCTGCTTCTCATAGCAGATGAAGATGGAACTGAACAACTGACCCTGGTTTCCTCCCAAACCAGCAAAGGAGATTGTTGCTCTTCCTGTTTGTTGAGCCCCTACGTTACAAGAAACACAAACCTCCTACTAACCAAGATCTGAGATTCGAATCAGGGTGAAATGTTTTCTCCCCATTTCATGTGCTGGAGTTGTATGCCCATCATGCCCAGCCAAAGGCCATCCTGGCCAGTAAGTATTATAGCACAGGAAGGCTACCACATTTGGAAAGACTTTTTTTAAACTTGTTTTGCTCAGAAATTATTAAGCAAATATTCCTTTCTAGTCATTCTTATCTCCATGCCGGAGGGGGGGAGGAACCCCTGTATGGCTTCTGTTCTGAACACATTAAGGGAAAAACAAAACACAAAATGAGACACTGCACGAGAGACATATTTACCAGTGGGGAATTTTAGATTAAAAAGTGGTGTGTGGTTGTGGATGTGTATAGGGGGCTTGGCAACAGTGTAACTCAAGATAAGTGATAATGGCAGCCACCTTTGAAGTATAAAACTAGTTATATAGATCTAAGAGTAACCAGACACAGAGGGATTTACTTAGTGACAATAGTTTATATTATGTTTATAGATTTGCAGCAGAGAGCGTTTTAAGTGTCAGTTTTCAAATCCTTTCTCCCTTTGATTCCCCAATCCAGAACAATATCATTAACTTTTGTATCTCATCTTTGCACCTTTCGAAAAGTCCAGAAAAGCCTGTTTTTTCATAAAGTATTTCCAGGTTATACAGCAGTCCCCATGCCCTGAATAACTTCATCAGATTCTTTCTGTGCAGCAAGCAGCTCTTAATGCCTGTCTGCTTTTCTACCTTTCTTGAAGCATTTGCTCATTCATTTCATCAAATACCCCTTTCTGAACGTTGAATCAAGAGCAGGAAACATTAGATCACAATAGAAGGCCTGTTCGCTGGCCCTGGTGCCCATGACAGGTAAAATGAAATGCAAGAATTAATACCAATCTGTTGCCAATCAGAGCACGCCTCTGAAATAAAAGACCATTGTTTCCCCCAAAGAGGACTGAAAATAAGCACCTGCATACCGAAATGAAAAGAATCCCAAAGAGAAAGCAACAAGCCTTATGCTTTTTCATCAGACGCTCCTCCTATACAGGATAAATTGCAGAGCCACAGAGGAAAAATTAGCAATTTTTTCCCCTTGTAAGTATGTTTGCTTGCATATATGCATGTTCCAGTGGGTTCGGTCAATGGGGCTTACTTGGAGGTAGAAGCAGAGAGGGACTGCAGCCTTTTAAACAAATTACAAAGCGCCTGCTATAGCTTTAATTTTCACCTGTTTTGCAACCTTCAGACCTATCTTTCTTCGGTTCTCAAGATGGTGGCACTCGTTCTCTCGTTCTTCCTCTGTGCTGGGGTATCTGGTAGCCCAGGTAAGATTAAGAAAAGGTGAGAATTTTTACTAAATCCATTGTGTCTCTGGTTAATATGAATCGCAGAAACAGCAGTAAAGAACAACTATGTGCATATATGTGTGCGCGCCCATGTGTGTGTAATGGATCTTGGCCTATCTATTCAAATAATATATTCTACTAATCCTCGTCCACAGAAGCCATATGCATATGAGCAAATGTGATCCAGAGCCACATATATAGAATTTATCACAGGATTTTTCCTAACAGCAGAGTGTAAGTGCCCTTCATGAACCACAGTTGTGAAATGGGCTGTAAACGCATTTTTCAAAGTGTTCAAATTCATGATGCTCCTTATTTGGGATTTAGTTTATTATCAAGCTCCCCATGGATGCCCACATCTGTGAACGCAAAACTGAAATACTAATAGCTAAATAGACAAAGCTGTAGACGCACCATGGTAAGTAATTTACCAGTTAAATTAATTAACCAGTTACTCATTCCTTTTATAAATGCAGCCCGAATGAGGTTTTCCTCTTATTCTGGAGAATATGGTGGCAACAGTGGAGATTATTTTGACCAATCGAGTAACCAACTGGATGGCCCCATAACAGCCCTGAAAATAAGGGCTAATGACAGGTATATCATAAGGTATGTTATGCCTTTTATGGACACAACTATTTTCATCACTGTTAGATGAGAAGAGCAGAAAGTAGAAAATAGAAATGTGAGCTCTCTGAGCAGAGCATTTATTCATGAGTAATATGAAAAAAATTTTCAAGTATGTAAGCAGATGCAAAGTTACTTTTGGGGCAAGACGTTCAAGAATCCAACAGCCAGCATGTTTTATTTTCTGAATCTTAGTCCAGAATGTAACTTTTCCAAGCTTGGGAGGGAAGGCGGTTCAGGAGGTGGGTCTTGACTAAATCAATCACATGCTGTCACATGGCATCTTTGAGACTGTGCACCTGTGGGTGGGTATCCATGTGCATGGTGTAGGTGTAGGGGTGTATGCATTCCTGCTTGGTACACAGAGTCCAGAGTATGATATTATTAGCTTTTTTGGACTACAATTCCCAGAAACCCCTGGCCAGCTCTTGTTGATGCCACCCTCTGCTGGGATAAGCATGATCTCTTGGTTTTCTCCCTGAGATGCAGCTGCTGAAAGCATTCAGCTTCTGTCCATCGGAAGGTGACAACAGTCCTAAATCGGTACCACCCTTCTCTTTAAATCTAGCCTCCAGGTTCGTTATGGTGACTCATGGTCCAACACCGAAGGAAGTGCGGTGGGCAATCCCTCGGGCGCGGAACTGTTTCTTGGAGAGGGCTTCGTACAGGTTACCGGGCGTTTTGGGAGCTACGTGGAGTACCTGGCTTTCCGCACCAACCTGGGCCGCCTCGTGGCTTTTGGGCCCAGTGCCGGTTCTGGGATGACCTTCAACGCGGAGCCGCTGTTCCCGAACGCAGTTCTGCGTTACGTCAGTGGGCGGTCCGGATCTTTGGTCAACGCGCTTGGTTTCCACTGGGACCAAGACCAATTCACTGAAACAGGGAATCAATCCTCTTTCTCCACACATCCGCCCCAAATAACTCCAACATAGGACTGTTCTTTCTCTGGCTTAGAGAGAGATTTCCTTGAAAGCCAATAAAAGTATCCAAACTACGGCCGTCTCTGTGGTCTGGTGGGAGAAAGAAAGAAAGAAAGAAAGAAAGAAAGAAAGAAAGAAAGAAAGAAAGAAAGAAAGAAAGAAAGAAAGAAATGGAACAAAAAGAATATAGTGGACCGCAATCTTTGTTTCATCCGTTTCTACATTACATTACAGTGGTGCCTCGCCAGACAGTTACCCCGCATGACAGTTTTTTCGCTAAACATTGACTTTTTGCGATCACTATAGTGATTCGCAAAACAGTGATTCCTATGGGGGAATTTCACTGGACAGTCTTTGGTCCCTGCTTCGTAAACAAATTTTTGCTAGACAATGATTTTGACAGCTCCCTCCGTGCTCGCAAAACGAATGTTTTCGGGACCTAAGCGTCGCAAGACAGCTGTTTAAACAGCTGACCACCGGTTCGCAAAGCGGCTTTCCTATGGCCGATCTTCACTAGACAACGACGATTCTTCCCCATTGGAACGCATTAAACAGGTTTCAATGCATTCCAATGGGGAAATGCTTTTCGCTAGACAATGATTTCGCTAAACAGCGATTTCAGTGGAATGGATTATCATCATCTAGCGAAGCACCACTGTATGATATATCATATCATATATTATATTATATATTTGCTAGTTTTACATGAGGGTGCATTCCAAAGTGGCAGACCCCACACATAATGGTGCAGTCTACCTCCTTCCTGCTACCATGCCCAGACCTCTGCCCATATTAGAAGTTCTTACCCAGAGAGTCTTGAGAGAGAAACAGCAGCTGTTGCTGATAGTTCAGCTTTATATGTTTGTTTTTATACATTCCTGAGTATAGATTGGGAAAATTCCTTTTTTTGTGGGAAAGGGACTGCAACTTTCCAAATCACCAGAGAATGCTGGTTAAGGATGATGAGAGTTGTAGTCCAAAAACAGCAACTTTTCCCACCTCATTGTACACAATACCTGCTCCTTGTTTGCATGACGGATCTGCCTTTCTGTACATATCGTACGGACATGATGAGCATTTGCACTTTCCACATTTATTCATCACCAGGTTGTTACCCTTCTTTTCACTTACAAGAAAACTTTAATTACAGAAGACACGCCTGTGTCAGTCTGTGCAAGCATCAGAGGTTTAAAAACAAAAGAACAAAATACACATCAGATACTGTAGGTGGCCTCAAAATACAGAGCTCCTGGTTGATTGGTAAGAAAGTCCATGGGTATTTAACAGTGGGGTGATGGTCTGTTTTGATAGGCAGGTATTGATGCCATTATAAATATTTGCATTGTTCTCTCTCTCTCTTTTATGTCTGAAGAAATGGACTTGTCCACAAAAGCTCACATTAAAATCTAACAGTTAGTCTTTAAGGTACCCAACAGATTTTTGTCCTTTTAAAAAAAAAATTATATGTTGCTCACATTAAAATCTAACAGTCTTTAAGGTACCCAACAGGTTTTTGTCCTTTTAAAAAAAATTATATTTTCTTTTTAATGTTGTTTTTACCTATAAGAAATTTTAAATCTCTGTTTTAAATACTGTACTGTATCCTCACCTCCCGACCTTAAGAAGTTTAGGGTAGTGGGAATCCCCTCCTCCCCCTTTTTTGGGGGGTAGGGACTCCCAAGCCCAGAATCCCCCTGCCGGAGGGTCACTGGGTGCAACAGAATCGCTGCCCCTCTCCTCTCGCTGCAAACGGCACCAAGCCCCACCACGAATGAATGCACGGGGGGGGGGAGGAGGAGGAGGGATTGCCTGAAACGGAAAGCGAAAGCTCGGAGAAAGTAGAAAAGCAGTAGAAAAAGCAGCGATCGGAAGGCGGAGAAGGGCTAAAAAAAAGGGGGGGGGCGAGACATGGATTCCGGGGAGCCAGAGAGGGTCTTGCAGCAGTTTTATGGGGAGCACGCCTTCCTCTTAGGAGACAAAGACTGGACGGTGAAGAAGAACTGCTTTGTCGTCAAAACGGCGGTGGAGAAGATGGTGAAGTGGGCCTATGAATCCAGCACGGGGCTGTACCCCGGGGACCCCGTCCTGGTGGGCAGCTACCGGGAAGGCTTGCACCTTCAAGTGGCCGGGCGTTCCAACGACTTCGACTTCCTCATCCCGGTGCGGTATAACCCCCGCTTAGCTCTCGTCAGCGGGAGCGTCCCAGAGGACCTGGGCGGCTACAAGCAGAAGCTCCCCACCTATATCTTCCGGGAGGGAGGGCTGCCCGTCCTCCGCAGCGGGACCAAAATCCTCGTCGACCTGGAAGCCCTGGGGGAAACTTACGTGCAAGTCTTCTGCGAGAAGCAAAAGACCCGGAGGGAGGGGGGAAGTGATGATGACGAGGAGGATGACGACCTCGATTTGGATCGACTAGAGGAGTGCGAGGTAGGTGTCGGCCGGCTGGATGTTTGCATCCGACCCCACACCCCCGCCGACCCTAAAAGTATATATTTTTTCCTTTTTGGCTTTTCCTAACTTAAAAGACTCACTCACGCCCTCTAGTGGCCCAGTTAAATGTTACGAACTGAGAGCGGTTGTGTGTGTGTCGCGTATGTCAGGGTACAGTACCTTCTGATGGCCCCAAATATTACAAATTTGCCTCCCAACCCACCTCGGTCCTGGGGTTGGGGTGGGGGGACAGCAGCATGCTGCCTAGCCTGCCGGTGGTCCACCCCAGCGTAATCCCCTGACATGGGCTGGACTTCCAGGTGTCTCCTTCACTGTTCCTATTGGCATTATGGATACCCTTGGGGTACCCCCAAGATTCAGGAGAGAATAGCCGTAAATGCGGAAGGTGTCGCAGCCTATGGAACAGGGATGGACGGCGTGATGCCCTCTAGATATCAGACAGTAACTTCCATCAGCCCCAGTCAGCAGAATCAATGGTAAGGGATAATGGGAGCTGTAGTCCAACATCTGGAGGGCCTCATGTCCCCCATCCTTGGTGTAAAGGCTGGTTTTAGAAACAGTAAAAGACACTAAGTGGCTAAAGATAATTAATGCACCACCATGTTGGTCATGCAGGGCTTCTCTCTATAATTTTCAGTCTCGTTTAAGCCATCATTAAGCCAGATCCACAGAGTGATCTCCATTGTACAGGCAGGAGGACAACGCTAATCAGCCTTCTGCCCCAATCTGAGCCTTGATAGAGGAAGATCCTAGATTGGGAACTTTAAAATTCAAGTCCAATTTCTTTCAGTGCTGCCTCCAAAAATAATGCAGCATATATTGTAGAGGGCTGGCATAGTGGGAGCGGATGCCACAACGTTTGGCCAAGATTGTTCTCATGCAAAAACGTGTATTGTTTGAAACTATGCAGGTCATTCTCTTTATCAAAGATACGTCTATCATAAATGAACTGGTCCTCAGATCTCGTTTATTCTTCAACACTTTAGACCTCACAGTGTGGCCTACATTACAACCAATGTTTTCTCCTCCACCTTTCCCCTTTTTCTTTTGCATATTCCTAAAATGCAGTGTATATCTGTATTTGTTGGAAGTCCCAATGGCTAGACAGCTACATTTTTTTCACCTGATTTATGGGATGGCTCCCCCCTATGTATTTTCTCTCTACAACTTATGTGAACATTAATGAACTTATTTAATTCTATCCCCCCCCCCAGGAGAGCCTTGAGCACCACAACCTGGACCCTGTTGAAATCTTGAGAGACTTTCACCATCATGTAGAAATTGCTTTGAATCCAGGTACGATCAAGCTAGTGCGAGAGAGCCAAGGGGAACCCAGAGCCTTATAGTGAGTAGCATTTTGAGACAATCTTGCAGTGTTTCTGCTCTGAGAAGACACATATCCCTGTTTTAAAAACTCACGTTTTCTAAAAGGGTTACTACCAGTTTAAGTGCTGACTGAAAAACAGATTCAGCCAGTCTCTCACTGAAGTAGCACATTTTATAAAGCTATACTGTATCTGTTCAACTGAATTTCAGCATTTCACGCAAGTCTTAAAGGTGTGGGAATCCTGAGAGGAAAAATTTAAAGCATTCACAGTGAATTTTGTCCTCATTCTGAAGCATTACCATGGGACATAAGGGTCCCTAAATCCATGTTTTGTTCCAGAATTCACTCAGATCTTGACCTACAAAGTTTAGATTAGGCATCCTTCAGTCTTGAGAGACTATGGTGCCCGAAGCCTGGCTAAAATAATATGGAGGATAGGCTATTACCCAAGCAGCAAATCCCCCCTCTCCACATCGCTGAAATAGTCCAATGGAAAGGCAAGAGCCAATACAGCTGGTTCCAGTGACATCGTAGGAGTTGCCAGAACAACACAGACTGCCTCCGGGACTCCGGATTTTGTCTCGAGGTTAACTCCTGAAGCCTTTTCCATCAGTGGATATAGCCACAAGGCAATGGAGGTTTGAAATCGGAGTTTTCCTTCTCCTAGATGGGCTGCCTTCCATGGCTGACGAGCCTCACCTACCCGGGACCTACAAAGTAGCTGTGCAAAAAATAGCCCAGACATAAATCAACATTATTGTATTTTTCCTTTGGCGTCTTTTGTCCTGGCCAATTTTAGGCAAGCAGAAATGAAGTGCTCTGGTTATTAGCAGGTTTGTACAGTTCAGGGGAAATTTAAATATCTTTAGTCCAGTTCAGAAAGTACAAGAGACATTTCCACTAAACCTAACCTTCAGTATGTTAGTTGTGGTTTTAGAAGAGATAGCCGTGTTAGTCTGTGCAAGCATATACAAATCAAAGAAATAAATATCAGGTGAAATCCAAAGAAACAAAACAAACGTCACAAACATGGAATAGTTATAATGTTAGTCTTTAAGGTACCACATGTTTTTGTCCTTCTGTTTTGTTTCTTTGGATTTCACCTGGCAAGCTTCAAGACACTGGCTTTCTTACTGAGATCAGAAAATGTCAAGAAACATACTCACTGGAGTAAGTGACCTGTCATTTATGCTACTGCATGTCTGTTAACCTTTTCTTGTATTTCTCTCTCTCCTGACTTCCTAGAATACTTCCACCCTCGCCAAAATGGTAAGCCCAAATACAATAAAATTAAAATATTTCTCCTTACTGGGCTAGATTTCTCTCCCCCCCCCAAATTATTCCTGATTAATAAATCAAAGATTTTGAACAGCTTATGGCTTGAACTGATGATGGATTCTCCCCTCTCTTAGACCCCGTGTTTCAGCGGAGACTCTTCCCCTCCCGAGTTCCAAAGATTGACCAAAGGATGAGAGGTAGATTTTTTTAATTTGCTATTATCTCCGACACCACCCTTTAATAATTAACTGGCTAGATGTTAAGATTTTGTTCAAACACAATTGGAAGAAACATCTGGCAAGCAAACAATTTAGTTAGGCAGTAGCCAGAGAGCAGGGCCTTGTCTGTGGCATCATCCACCTGTGCAATGCTCTGCTTTGGCTTGGTAGTTTTCAATTACTTGACTTTTTAATTCCTCCAACCTGTTGAACACTCCTGTGGTGCTTTTAATTCCATTCCTATTATTCCCATGATCAGTGCTGTACTGTTTTAAATGGAGCGGCTGCTTAATGGCATGGGTATTTCTCTCATTTCAAAGTCTACCAGAATTAGAAGCATTGAAGGGGAAGAGTGGAAGATTTAAATAAACCAACTGGAGAACAGGAGTTTGTGTGTATGTATCACTGCATCTTCACTTAACTTGTTAGCTCGGGGGGGGGGAGAGACTTTACACCAGGTGGCCCTATACATTTTTTAGATAAGAAGCAAAACTTTTTTGTTTAACTAGGTTTTCAAAGCGTTGGTAACAGGATGGCATCCCCACTGTTTTCAGTCTGGTTGCTGAATTGCAGACTGATGGGACACCCATCAATGACAGTGACAGATCATCTCTCCCCCTTATCACAACAATACACCCATAACAAAAACACGCTGATCACCACAATCACCAATCTCCTGAAAAGGACAAAATCTGATCTCACAGCTATAAATACTCAACTATCCCACAAACTGCACCAGAGCACAGACAAGAGTTCTGACTCCTGTCCTCTGAAGATGCCGACCACAGAGACTGGCAAAACATTAGGAAGAACAACCTTCAGAACACAGCCAAAGAGCCCGAAAACCTACAACAACCATCGTTCCATAAATAATCTATTTCCTCCTTTTGCTCCTGGAGTAATACTTTTTTTCCTGATCGCTTTATAGAGAACATCACGTTGGAGGCCTTGGATCGAGAGGGCCCAGCTATCCGGTTGAAATTCAATGATGGGATCGAAACAGTATCCGTGAAGCTGGTACCCGCCATCCAGGGAGCCATCCAGTTCTCCCACCAAGGTGTGAGGGAAGATCTGGCTCACCTTTCTGACTGGTGGGATGGAGACCTGGTGGATGAAAAGAGCAGCTTTATCCGGAAAGCAGCAGCTGTTCATGAAGCTGGACCAGAACTGGTGGCCAAGGGAGGATTTTGGAGGTAAACAGTTTAACCTGGAGACTTGCTTTTAATACATTTGTCCTCCTGTTTCAGTTAGAATCATGTACACACATATTCCTAGCTGGCTGATGAATGTTCTGCTTGAAATATGTGTTGTCCCCCCCCCCACAGCTCAGCCTGATCCACTTTAAAATACAGTTGTCCTCCTGTTTCAGTTAGAATCATGTACACACATATTCCTAGCTGGCTGATGAATGTTCTGCTTGAAATATGTGTTGTTCCCCCCACACCTCAGCCTGATCCACTTTAAAATACAGTATCAGTTCCAAGCCCCTCTGCAGATGCCAAAAAAACCATGAATAGCCAACAATGTAAGATATCATGGTCTCTGCCTCTCTTTAGGGGCCAGTTCTGGTAATTACATCATGGAAATACTGTATGCACACTACAGTATTTTTATTTTTTAGTATTTTCAGACTGGATAATTGAAACTGTGAATACCCATCTTGTGGATGCAGGGGTCCTATTGTACATCTTTAAAAGTAGCTACGTTACTGCCTTTGCTTCCTTGGATTTTTCTTTTTTACTTAATGCCCCCATTTAAAAAGCCTTTCCTAATCTGATGTACATGCCTAGACTATAGCCCCCATTATGCACAACCAGTGCACCCTTCTAGTGGCTGGAGATGATGAGAGGTGCAATCCAACAGTTATGTTGCCTTTATTCCTCCAAAATGGGAACAGAATAGGTGGGAATCCTAGCTGTTTTTTGCTGGACGCACAATCCTGCCTATGTTAGGATTGTTCTGTTAATGATGATTAAAGGATTCACTGAAGAAACGGTCATGTTGCCTTTATTCCTCCAAAATGGGAACAGAATAGAAGGGAACCCTAGCTGTTTTTTGCTGGATGCACAACCCTGCCTATGTTAATCATCATGCATAGGATTGTAATGTTAATAGTGATTAAGGGATTCACTGAACTAAAGAAACTGTATTTGAATATTTACGGCAAACAACCCCTCTTTCCTTGGACCTAGACTCTCTTTCAGCCAGGCTGAGGCCATGATTCTGGAAGATATTGATGCTGATGGGGGACACAGGAAGGAAGCTTTGAGACTGCTGAAGTTTGTGAACATGACCAGGTGGACACCAGAGTATGGCAAAATCTTGACTTCCTATCATCTCAAGGTGAACAAACGTCATCGGATGCTGGGGCAGATGTCGCAAAAGGCTAAGATGACCAGTTTACAAATATCGGTTTTTTGGACTAAAATTCCCAGAATCCCCTAGCTAGCTCTGTTGCAACCCCCAAAAGTAGTATGTTTAAGCTCTCAATACGATAGCTAGGATTAGAGTATGGCAAAATCTTGACTTCCTATCATCTCAAGGTGAACAAACGTCATCGGATGCTGGGGCAGATGTCGCAAAAGGCTAAGATGACCAGTTTACAAATATCGGTTTTTTGGACTAAAATTCCCAGAATCCCCTAGCTAGCTCTGTTGCAACCCCCAAAAGTAGTATGTTTAAGCTCTCAATACGATAGCTAGGATTTTTTCCCCTCCCAAAAGTAGTATGTTTAAGCTCTCAATATGATAGCTAGGATATTTTCCCCTCCATTCAAGGGTTTCTTGCCCAATTTGGCACCCTCTTAACGGTCTTCGCTAACGGTCTAATAAGACAAGTACAGTGGTACCTCGACTTACGAAGTTAACCCGTATTGGAACGGCGTTCGTGTATCAAAAAGTTCGTAAGTCAAGGGAAACTTTTCCATAGGGATGCATTGAAAACCATTTAATCCGCACCAGCTATTTTTCGGCATTGAAAACCATTTAATCTGTACCGGCTATTTTTCATTTGTATGTTGTGGCGCTGTTTGCAATTAGAGATGAATCTGTACTCTACCACTAGGCGGAGTATGTTGTGGCGCTGTTTGCAATTAGAGATTAATCTGTACTCTACCACCAGGCGGAGTTTTTTTTTAAATTTTTTCTTCTTCTTTTGACCTAAGATGAACTTAGGTCAAAAAAGGGCAGGAAAGGTTTTTTTCGGGTTTTTTGGTTTGGCAAAAAAGGGCAGGAAAGGTTTTTTTCGGGGTTTTTTGTTTGGAAGTTGAGGCTCTGTTTGCAAGTCGAAACAACGTTTTGCGAACGGAGCCATTCATAACTCGAATCTTTTGCAAGTGGAGATGTTCGTAAGTCGAGGTACCACAAAGTTTCAGCTCATATAGCAGCACAGTGAAGCTGAAAGGGGCTCACAGTATCTGCCAAGTGATGCTAGAAGGCAGGCAGCCTCACCTACTCAATTCTGAAAGGATGACTGTATGCTACTGCACTCACTTCCTCCCCTAACAGAATCACAGAATGGTACAGAAGGAAAGTACCTTAGTCAAGCGTCAACCACTTGCTAATGCAGGAGTCCACAGATAAAGCACCTGAAGAGATGGCTAAACCCATCTCAGTTTAAACACCTCCAACAAAGGAGAGTCCACCACATTCCCAAAGCCCTCTGTTGTTACTCTTTTGAACAGGGTTTACCACCAGGATGTTCTTCTTAATATTTAGTTGTAATCTTCTTTAGCTCTATTTGAATCTGCTGGTTCAGGTCCTGTTCTTTGGCACAGAAGAAAGCAATCTTGCTCTGGATTTTCCTTTCTCCTTCCCTTTCCTGCTACCTTGATAGTGGCCGGAAAGACAGCTCTCCGTAGGGATAGATTTATTCCACAGTTGCTCTCCCCATGTGTTCACAGTATATGTAAAGATACCTGGTGTTTTTTTTCCTCAAGCTTCTGCACACCTCTACCAAAGCCATGAACATCCTTGGGAATTCAGGCTTGAAAGCCTCGCTGTAAGATCTGACTAACATTTACCTCTTTCTCCACCCCCTGTAGACCATTTTGCTGTGGTGCTGCGACATCTCTCCTCAAAAAGCCCCATGGGAGACACTCTTCTCCTCACTGCAGACCCTCCTGAGGCTCATACGTTATACTGTCATCAAGGGAAACCTTCCTCATTACTTCCTGGTGCCCGTCAACCTCTTCAACAGATACTACAAATCCAGTAACCCCATCTACAGGTCTTTAGCGTTAGAAGCCCTGCGTCGGGAGACTGAAGTGATGCTGGCTGACCCTGTGGGGTACCTCATGCCAGAGCGTGAGCCACAAGACCACAGTGCCAATGAAGAATATGAGGAGAAGATGGCGGCCATCAAGGAGTTCAAGGAAAAGTATCAGGAAGAGCTAAAGGAGCTGAAGACAATGGAAGATGAGCATTTGTATGAAGAGATAGAAACAATTGAGGGTGTAGAAGCCGAGCCATCTCTGAGGAATTCAAGATCTACATGAGCATTTTCCCACCCCGACACAATTTTTCCACAGCTGTTTAATTATTTTGTATTCTTGGTATTGGGTGAGAAGACTTCAGGCCTTGTGATGGCACAGGCCAAAAACTGAAATCACGTGGACAAGGCTGAACAAAAATCATAGTGGGGTTTCAAACGGCCAAAATACCATCAGCAACTTCCTGCCACTCTAGGAAGAGCAACCTTGATGAACCTGAAACTCTCTGGATATGTTGGACTACAACTCCCATCAGTCTCTGGCCAAAGAGGAGAAACCAGATTTAAGTCCCTGCACAGCTGCAAAGTTCAGTGTCTAAGATCATGCGTGTCAGCTTAACTCACCTCAACAGGACTGTTGTGAAAGTATGGAAGGAATCATGTCTTGAACCTTCTCTCTCCCTCAAAGGAAGGATGAGAAAGGGGCTATAAATACATTTACACTTTGTTTTTAGTATTTAAAAAAATTACACAGTTTCAATGCACTTAATTAGAAATACATTTAACATCTTTTCCTGTGGTCCAGTATTTCTGCCACCTGTGGAACTGGAGGTCTCTAGCTGCAGCAAATGCAGGCCCACAGTTTGCTTCACCCATGCCCCAACTATAAATCGGAGGTCTCTAGCTGCAGCAAATGCAGGCCGAGTCCACAGTTTGCTTCACTGATGCCCCAACTGTAAATGCAAGCAAGCAGGCTTAGGATAACAATTCCATCATCCTTTCAAACCAACAGGAGACACCAGAGCTGCTTTCTGTCTTCAACAGTAGCTGCTTGTAGTGTAGAGCTGCTGTTTTAGAGGTACTTTGTGTGTGGAGCCATATTTGAAAATACAGAGCTTTCTGAACATTTATGAAACGGACACAGAACAGAAGAGAGCACTAGGTGAAAGTGAGGGAAAAGGCCCGGTAGCCAAAATTGGTGAAGACATCAATGCGGTGGCTGCTTCCGGCAGCTGTCAACACCTAGGGGGTGAAGGCAAGAGGTGCGTTAGGTAATAGAGATGGGAGGTAAGAGGCAACTAGCCAGGATTGGACCCATAACCCCATATCCCTCTCATATTAAATGATAGGCTTTCCCCCCACATTCCCCATATAAGACATTTCAAATTGTTTTACAACGTACATAGAAAATTACAAACTCCCAAGAAACCTAATAGACTCCCTTTGCAAATTCCCTGAGCCCTATTGAAGAGCCACCTTCTCCCACGCAATCTTCTCCCAGTTAGGTCCTCACAATGGAGGCTGCGCTCTGCATGGAGATGCAGGCTAGTACGTATAGCAGCCATGCTGTGAAATCCCGCACTTCACCGAAGCATATTTGCTTCCCTTTCTACTGACTCCACAGGACTTCATTTAGAACATTTTGCTTCATTGAAACTTTGCCTTACTGGAAAATCCCCCCCCTCCCAATTTGCATCTGGTTTTCTGGTGGGGTTTTTTGCCTTTCTGTTGCTGGTGTTGCTTTAGCGTTTAATACTTTTTTTAAAAAATGAATTTGGTATTAGTCCCGAGTGTGCGTGTTGTTGTTTTTAAACTCAGCATTATTAGCAGGACAGAAAGATGAAAGACAAATGTTTGATAAATAATTCCACGTTGTTCAACGCAGTCACCTTGATGCTGCACCTCTCACACCAAAACCCTGGCTCCCAAATTCAGTGGCTGAAATCCAACAGTAATCACAACTGAGTAGACCTACTGAATTAATGGGGATTTGGGTCAACTCCATAATGGGCTTAATCTAGTTGCAATTTACTGCTGGATTTTATTCAGTGTCTCCCGACCCAAAGTGAAAAACGTGCCTCCCAGTTGCTCATCTCCTTCCTCATTTTTGGCCACACAGTCTTCACTCCACGCTCCCACTTGCCATATCGAAGACCGCCCCCTTCTTCCACAGTCCAAACTCCAGGCCCTATCATAAAATCCCAATCACTTCATCTTCAAGGCCTCCTTCCTTTTTACTGGCTGCAACACACCTGCTTCCCTGTCTGCCCTTCTCAGCCTAAGGAGGTACCTTGTGCTCTGGGGAATGTTCGTTGATGGAAAGAGAGTGGACGCAACGTGGAATGCAAGGGATTTGGGCTTTCACTTCGCCACTGATCTGTAAATGGTTGATGCTGGGGCTGTGACCGGCTGAGAGAATCTATGGAAGAAGCAGAAGGGTGGGAGAGAAGGGGCGCTCAGTGTGTGCCAGGTGAATGGGAGAGAGGCAATTACAGGTCAGTTCCATGCATGAAGGAGAAAAACAAAACGAAGGACACAGCTTGGAATAGTCATTTTTTTCAGATGACAACATCCAGTATTGTTACTGAAATAACATTTCCAAACAATAGGAATGGGAAAGGAAAAACTGGCTGAAACCTCCAGTCCACATCAACTAAAGAAAAGGGAGTGAGGCTGGAACCAAGTGAAGGGGGAAAAAAAATGAGGACAGAAGTCCTAAAGAGGGAAAACGGACTCACCAGGTCCTGGTAGAACATAACTTGCTGCTGACACTGGGGCAAAGGAAACACAGTGGTGGGGGTGACCGACCGGAGGTGCCACAGAGTGAGCGCTGGACCCCCACCGCAGACCTGTGGGAAGAGAAACAGGGAAGAGCTGCTTGTTAGGGTTGGCCTGAGCTATTAAAAATACAAAATGTATCTCACAGAGTCTGCTTTGTTAAAACATGTCATATCATCTACCGTTCAAAAACATGAATATAATAAGCTCCTAGTGCTTAGACATAACATTTGTTATACATGGAGTCTGTACTTGTTGATAGACATATTTACCAGAGATGGGGACTAGAGTCACAAGACTCTTGTCAAGTTTTTTTTTCAATGGCTCAGGCTTAATTTGTGACAGGAAACCACCCCCTCTTTTTTTTTCTGGGGGAAAAATATTGTTTTTAATAGGGACTCAGAACTTGGGGACCCTGACCCCAAGACTGGCCAACATCCCTGATATTTACTATAATAAACAATTATATCTCACATCCTATTATACCTATAGCCCTATCTGGCCCTCTCCCAGAGAACCATATTCTACTACATATTTGCCCTGTCCGATCTCTCATGCCTATCTGACTACTATTACACATGTGACCATCGTCACATATCAGACCTTGTCTGTATCTGACCGATTACATGTTCGTCCCCATCTGAGAGGCGGCTTTATGTCTCTCTCTGACTGATGCCAGATACACCTTGTCTGTATCTGACCGATTACATGTTCATCCCCATCTGAGAGACGGCTTTATGTCTCTGTCTGATGCCAGACACGCTCTGATTGGTCAGAATGCTTCAGGATGCAAATACAACATTCTAGTCTTTCCATGCAAACAACATTAACATATGCATATATACATACCACGTTGTACAATTAAACATACCAACAATGAGAGATGTTGGGTCAAAGTGGCAGCCGCGCCTTTAAGCCAACCGTACACACCTGAGCCTAGTGTTTCTTGGGATATTTGGCTGCTCTTTTTCAAGAGGAAACATTTAAAGGTACTCACCATCCAGTCAGAGTCTGTTGCCAGGCAACGGATCCACTTCCCGTACTGTGGCCGGCTACATTCCTAAGTGGGTTGAGATGGGCCATTAGGAGAAAACAGCCAGAGGAAAGTCTCCCGGTTAATTAAGTAGCAGCCAGCCGTGTTACATAAAAAGACTCTGATCGGAAATGGGTAATGGTTTATTCTCCCAAAGGATTATCTTACTACAGTAAAATGTGGAATTATATATATATATGATGTAGGCAAATGTTGCTGTCTGTCTCGAGCTCCTGAGCAATAGACCTTTTTTTTTCCTTTTGTGCTAATTAATAGCAGTTTCATTTCAGAGTCGTGTGTTTTCTTCTGTTTCTTAAATAAATGAAAGTAATGTGGGCAGATGAGCAAGCGCAAGAAAAAGAGGAATTCTGAACTGTAGGAACATAAGCGGAGCTGACCATACCTCATACTTGTGCACTTCAATGGACTGGACCTGACTTTTAGTACGTAAATCTGCAAAACAGAAATACTCTGTTTTTCCAACAAATAAAGCACTCTAGAGGACTAAAACCATCACTTCCCTTCCCATTGTCTGTGTCAGCTACCTTCATCATCCCAGTCCCAGCCTATAGGCCAATGTAATAAACATGAAAATAAAAACATAACTTCAAAGGGCCAAAACTAATATATGTAAACATAACTGCAATTAACCAGATATGAGCCTATCAATAAATTAAATGAAAGGCATGTACTAGAAGACCCTGTATCATTTTCTAAATTCTTGGAAGACCAACCTTGGTAAGTTTGTTAAGAGACTGGAAAAATTATTTTTCCTACAACTTCCAGTATCCCCCAACTAGTATGGCCAGTAACTTTTCTAAGCTTGGGTTTTGATTAAGGCTGCTTGTTCCTCCACAGTAGGGCCACCACTAACAAGGATTTGCTCAGCGTTATTCCAGAGTTAAATTTCTGTCAAGAAATGGCAGATGCAGAAAAACCCTCCCCAGCTGGTTCTAAAGGAGTAGGGTACATACAGCTGGGAAAGGTTGAAGGCAGCTGTAGTTGAGAAAGACCAAATATGGGTCAGATTAGCTCTATAAAGGAAGCCACAGGCTTGACTGTGCAGGAGGTGAGCAAGGCTGTTAAACGATGGGACATTTTAAAAGTCACTCACGTCTACAGTCGGCATGAGCCAGAAGCGGCTTGATGGCACATAACAACAACAAATGGGAGCACACACAAGGAGACGAACTTCCCAAGATCTAAAAGCAGACGCTTCTGTCGAACCGCTAGGTTGGCGGGAGCTGGGACAAGCGATGAGAGCTCACTCCGTCACATGGATTCGATCTTACGACTGCTTGGTCTTCTGACCCTGCAGCACAGGCTTCTGCGGTTTAGCCCACAGCGCCACCACGTCCCTAGTCGTAGTTGAGGAAGACCAAATATGGGTCAGATTAGCTCTATAAAGGAAGCCACAGGCTTGACTGTGCAGGAGGTGAGCAAGGCTGTTAAACGATGGGACATTTTAAAAGTCACTCACGTCTACAGTCGGCATGAGCCAGAGGCGGCTTGATGGCACATAACAACAAGAAATGGGAGCACACACAAGGAGACAAACTTCCCAAGATCTAAAACCAGGTGCTCCTACCTTTTACAGAAACACCAGATCCGAGATCCTTACCCCAAAGCCGCACTGTGCCATCCTCGCTGCCTGATAGGCACTCGCGGAGCTGCTCCCGAAGGGCCAAGCAATGGATGTAGTCTGTGTGGCCCTGATATTCATGCTGTGAGGGAGACAAGAGCAATGACTTCAAGTCTAGAAGCTATGGGGGAGGCCTTAAAGAAATGCACTTCAGCATAGCAAGCCGCAGTCAGAGCAGGCCCACTTGAATCAACGGAACGGACAGAGGAGCTGACCTGCTAAATCTTCACTAATTCAATGGACCTCCTCTAATGCAATTCACTACACTAAGCGAGAAGATTTTGGCCATTATGCTACAACTCAGGTACAAGCTCTTTTTAAAAGTAATTTGTAGTCTCACTTTAGTGGGGGCAGGGGAGCTGTAAAAGTTCTCTTTTTTTTTTCTTTCCTATAGCCCATTAAAAACACTTCCCCCCCCCCCCAGGAAGTGGAGAAAACTGATAGCCTAGAGCACTTAGGAGAAAACCTGGATTTGTAGTCTCACTTTAGTGGGGGCAGGGGAGCTGTAAATGTTCTCTTCTTTTTCTTTCCTATGTAAAGAATATGCTTTTCATAGCCCATTAAAAACACTTTTCCCCCCCAAGGAAGTGGAGAAAACTGATAGCCTAGAGCACTTAGGAGAAAACCTGGGCCATTTATCCAGGTTTTTTGGTAATAGTAAAAATAATTTAATAAGAACAACACTTTAGTGGGGGCAGGGGAGCTGTAAATGTTCTCTTCTTTTTCTTTCCTATGTAAAGAATATGCTTTTCATAGCCCATTAAAAACACTTTTCCCCCCCAAGGAAGTGGAGAAAACTGATAGCCTAGAGCACTTAGGAGAAAACCTGGGCCATTTATCCAGGTTTTTTGGTAATAGTAAAAATAATTTAATAAGAACAAGCCCATTAAGGAGCGCAAAGTGTTTGGTTATATAAAACTTCAGGCATGCCGTTCCTCCTCCGCACATTTCACGGGCTCCATACAGCAAGAACTCACAATGAACGTTCCAGACTCCAGATCCATCATGCGAATAACACAGTCTCCACCAGCCATTAAAAGACTATTATCCTGAAAAAGAGTTTAAAACGATGAGTACAAGGCAGTTTCAACTCAGCTTGTTTGGCTTAGCTTGGCATGGTGGCTGTTACCTTGAGGTTCAGCTGAAGGCTGTTGATCTCTGGCACCTCCAGACTGCTCCTAAAAGGAAAAGCAAATGTTGCATCTGCCTATACATGAAGAGGGTAAAAAGAAGGAAGTGATGGAAACTGAAGGAAGAAGGTGAGTTATACCCATAAGGTGGCCTTTTACTCCAGGCTTCTTTGCAACCCTAGGCAGAAAACAAAATGACATTAAGAGGAACACATGAGATCAAGAGAGACGCTCCAGGCGATTAAGAAGCAAACTAATGATTAGGTTACCAGAGGACTCCTTGTGAGATCCAGCCCTAAACCCAGTTACCAAACACCACTAGATCCATGGCATCAACTGCTGAAGGCTAAGTCACTACCCATGTAAATCCCACTGTTTCAACCGCCCCCCTCTTATTGGGACCAGTCATTGGATTTAGGTTTTTATCCCCACTCAGCCTTGAAACTCACTACACAAGCTTGGGCTAGTCTCTCTTTCTCTCTGAGGCTCACCTATTCCCCAGGAGAAATAAGAGGACATGAATATAACCAATAAACCATAACACTGACCTTCTTCACAATCTCACTCCAGTTCCAAGCTTTAACTTCGCCATTGCCAGCACTTAACAACTGGCGGTCTGTGGAAATCATGGCATAGATCGGGCCTTCATGGGCTATGGGAGGAAAGGGGAGATTTCAGGGGGGGAACTGACATACTTTGAGGTGCATCATAGGATGTGGGATCACAGATCATTTAAAACACACACACACACAGAAGTACTGCGGCACCTTAAAAATGAACAGATTAATTTTTGTGTGAGACTGTAATCCCCAAAACACAGCAATGAAATATTTATGGGATCACAATACTACACACACAAACACACAGAGAGAGAGAGAAGTACTGTGGCACCTTATAAATGAACAGATTTATTTTTGTGTGAGACTGTAAACCCCAAAACACAGCACTGAAATATATGGTATCACAATACTTTGTTTTTATGTCTTGCTGTGTTCTTTTTATAGCTACTGAAAACAATTTATGCAGCTACCTCTTTGAAAATCATTTTAAAATTTGTATTCCTTAGAGAAACCAAACTGGGGGACTCCAAAGACTATGCTTACTGATGCCAAACTGGGGATTTGGCCCAAGTGTGGCTGTGGCAACCGCATGGCCTTGTCTCTCTTGTCTCATCCCTGGGCCTTCAACGTTTTTGTGGGCTTTGTTTTCGAACAAAATGATGCCAATAATAGCTATACTGGGTTTTCCACACACTTGTCCAACCACACCACAGCCTGACACCAGGCAAAAGGATGTGTTATATAGGACTCTAGGGACTGAGTTAAATGGACAGCAGTAACACAATAAATTATCAGGTTGGCACAAGCAAGCACAATGTATCATGGGAGATCCTGGTATTCTTCTGGCAACAGACACCTACCTATAAAGGAGACCACAGGCTTCTTGCTTTCTTCCTTAGCCTCTGAACTCAATGCTGCCGAGAGGCTGTAGGAGAAGAAATTTGGGCCATAAGATCATCTGGGCCCACTCTGCCCCCACTCCCAAAATACACATCCTGCTAAGAGAATCTTTATTACCTGAATATGGCAATCTCCCCATAGTTGTTCCCTGCTGCTAAATACTTGCCACAAGGTGAGACACTCTGGGAGTAGATGGTCATATGGAGGAGCTCAAGAGACCGCTGAATATCCATCTGACAACAGGAACAAACAGGAGAGATCAAGCCAACAAGTATCATCTTGAGCCCCATGCAATGCTGCAATAAACCATTCTGCATGATGTAAGTCTCCAACCCAGTACCAATGAGAAACAAGACGGACAAATGCACATTCCATTTCTAGTCTGGAACAAGTAACTTTGATGCAATATCAAATCATATGAAGATACGTAGGAAGTCTCAGGCAAGCACAAGGAAGAGGATGTCATATGGATTCCCCCAAGATTGCATCCCTCACTGCACTGCACACAGGGTAACATCCTGTGGACACAATCAGACACTCACACTAGTAAAAGTGCAGCCAATAATGTTTTTCCAAACCCAAAGTGGAAGATTTTTTTAAAAGCCCCCACTCCCGTAAACCAGAGTAGGTAAAAATCAATGATTTTTAAAGATCAATTCAATTTCAATATCAATTTGAAGTTTAAAAACAGATTTTAAAAATTTAAATTGTAAAAAAAATCTGATTTTAAAAATTTAAACCATGAAACACAAATGCAAATTATGGTAAGGAGTATTTTTATCTCTTTATTGCAATTCTCCTCATTTTATTATATGCATAACCCTAAAAATAGGCAGTTACAGATAGAGATACTGCATTACCCCAAATCCTGTCATGTGACTACAGAAGGCTGATAGGGGGGATTTTGAGTAATCAAAGACATCCTCCTCCTGCCCAACTCATAAGTAATGTATTTGATTGCATGGAAGCTGCGGGACAGAAGGAGGAAAGCCAAACACTCCCCTCCTTTCACAGGCATAAACAAGACGCTTCCCGTCCCCGACAAGAGGGTCAAAACAAAAAACAAACACCAGGGGGCGCCCGTCCGTCATCGCCTTCTTTTTCCATCTCTATGGTCACAAGGAGCTAGAGCGACAGCGCAACTGCGTCTGTGTCCACACAATCTCCGGCAAGCGGAAAACATAAGACTACATTTCCCAGCATGCCTCATGGGCTTCACGTGACGACGGAAGCCGTGGTGGCTTTTTATGCCGCTAGATCCCTCGGCTTGTAGTACTGGAGAAGAATTCAAGGACTATTGTGAAGAATGCAGTAAAGGAACAATCTTCGGGAGGGCGGTAAGGCCAAATATATATATTTTTAAAATCATCTTGCGGCGCATGCGCAGAATCTACTTGTAAACCCGAATACTAATACTCTCCCCCTCCCTCCCGCTTCTCGTGCCTGTACTGACCGTTCCTGGCGTCGGATTTGCTCCTCAGGCAGGGCGCACGTGCAAAGCATTAACGGGCGCCCTGCCCGGCTTCTCAAGGGGTGGCCACGCCCTTTCCTGTGGCGTGGCCACGCCCACCGCCTTGGGGGTAGGAGGCCGTCGCAAGGCCTGCTGGAATCTCGGCTCTTTGGAGCCCGGGAGAAAAAAAATCGCCCTTAAAATGGCGGCCGGCGAGCGGGCGGGCGCCAGAATCCGCTCGGCTCATCCGCTCTTGACATGAGGGGACCGTGGGCGGGATTAGCAAGCGCAAATCAGGTTAAGGCGAAGGCGCCCGGACGCGCGCCACAATCCGCCTGGCTTATCCGCTCTTGACATGAAGGGTCCGTGGGCGGGATTAGGAAGCGCAAATCAGGTTAAGGCGAAGGCGACTTGTCCTGAATTGGCTGGCCTCCACCGGGTGGCATCACCCGGGTTATTTTAAAGCCCCGAACTTCTTCGGGGAAATACAAGACTTGGAAGGGCGTTCTGTCATGTTGAGCGGGACAAGGGCCTTTATGAGGGAGGGAGCCATATTTTTCAGGGGATTCTGGGACTTGTGAAATGTTACCTCCTTTAGGTGGTAACATTAGTCCTCCTGAGATCTGGAGTGAGGGCACGCATTAAATGGGGATACTACACCTTCAGCCTTCGCATTGCATGAGACATTGGTTCGCAACCCTGGAGTGAGGGCACGCATTAAATGGGGATATTACACCTTCAGCCTTCGCGAAGGCAATATTACACATGGTTCCACCGAATGCATTGCATGAGACATTGGTCCGCAACCCTAGGTCCCCAGATGCTTTTGGACTAAAACTCCCAGAAGCCTTCAGTACTGTGGTAGCCAGGATTTCTGGGAGTTGTAGTCCCAGGAGCTTTGGGGGCACCCAAGGTTGAGAACCACTGGTATAAGATGTGATCAAACATAACCTAGCGTACTATTGCACCACATGGTCAAGCCATCCCCTGTGAATTTCATTGTAACTAACACCTGTTCAAAACAGCCTTCTTGGAATACTACTACTTTTTGTGATTGGAGAATATACAGTATTGGGAAGATGTGTGAAAACTGAAGAGCTGGTGTTAGAGCAGTATGACAGTGGAACCAAGTACCTTGGGAGGCAGTGAATGCTCCAGTGCCGGAGGGATTCAAGAGGAAATTGGACAACTATCAGATCTGTTTTGATTTGGATTTCTGCATTGAGCAGGGGGTTGGATTTAGTGGCCTTATAGGCCCGCTCCAACTCAATTCTTCTGTGATTCTAGAACACTTTTATTTTCCCAGTTGATAACAGTACACTGGGAGATGGGCAAGGAGGCCGTATCTCATGTACTTGTAGAACAGGAGTTGGCAATTGTGGCCCTCCAGATGTTTTGGGTTTGCACCTTTCATGGCCTGTGTGCCGCCTAGGGCTGTTAGGGGTTATAAGCCAAAAATATCTGGAGGACTACTATTTCCACTTGAATGGGATAGAAATAAATAAATAAATAAATAAAATACAGTAAATAAAATGAATGTACCCTTCAGGATGGACCCCAGCTTCTATCAGCCCTAGCTAGTGTGCCTATAGGTCAGGAATGATGGGAGTTTTACTCCAGCATGTGGCGAGCCACTGGAACCTCAGCCATGGCATAAAGCTTTGCAGGCAAAAAGAAGCATCTTGAGCTGTGTCCAGTGCTGCCAACAAGAAGCTGGTACAGATGTTTGGCCACAGTCTTAATAGATGGGCTTTTCAAACTGCATTCTGGGGAATCTTATATTTTGTTGGGGAACGGAGGCCCAGCTTCAAGAGTATCTGTGGTTGTTTTTCGTAAAGAGCAACCTTCCTGATCCCTTTCCTTCATGTACCAAGCATGTTCCATATAATATTATTCCAAACAGAAAGACAGAGTTTGGTCCAGTACTTATTTATATATCCCTTTCTTCAAAAGGTTATGTTCAAATCAGCTAAAAGTAATTTTCAAAACAGAAATACAGCGAAAACATAAAAGCAAATTAAAAGCATGGTCTTAAGAAAATAAAAAGAGATGCCCCCTTCCAACAGCAACCTGCCATAATCTCGAAAAACCAATCTGAATAATACTGTAATATATTGTCTTGCTAGCAGATTCTAGGATTATCCCTTGGCATCTGTTTTCTATAGGCAGGAGTTGCCTCCACTCAACTTTCAGGATCCTCCCTTCCTCCTCCTCCTCCCCATCCTGTGCACTGAAGTCTAAACTCATTCAGCAAGGTTCCCAATACTCTTTAGCATTTGGAGTCTCTGGCAAAATTGGTTTCAGCCAATCTAATTGCACACATCTAAACTTGGACAAAATCCAAATGTTTTATCGAAGGACTGTTTGATGGAATTTGGAAAATGGAAAACCAGTGACCTACTTGCCTGAATCTGGTGGCTTCGTGTTCTGCATTAGGAGCAACTGCATCTTTTTGAAGACATGTTTCCTCCCATCTTGTCCCATTGTATTAGCCTGCTTCCTCTAATAAGGTTGTCTTTAAGATAAGTGTCACCAAGGCAAACACAGTCAAGCTCACTGTCAGAGAAGCCTTGCTTTAAGTTACCCTGGCCCTCTTTGTCTTTATAGATGGATTCCACTGCTGGCCTGCCCTCATCCCCAGTGCTTCCAACCCACCAATCATTGCACTATTCCATATTGTCTAAGAACATGGGCTGGAGCCGTAGCAGAGGCTCTGACTGGCAACAGGATAGAGCACAGCAAGTGTCATGGAGCAAGTCAAGCCCAGGAGTAAGGAGGTACAGTGTGCGCAACAGTCCCAGTAAGCATATGCTGTGAAGCTCTTCACTTGGATAGAAGAAGGAAGAATACTTTCATGGGTGGACTGGCAAAAGAAGGACAGACATTTGAACAGTACCTGTCCACAGGCCATTTACTCACAGACCTTACCTGTTTGAGGATTTTTCAATTTATGCCAGTGATCTTTGTCTGCCTTTTCATAATCCAGATTTGTTGTTTCAATAGCTCCTTTTGAGAAGATTCGAGGGCGGGGGAGGCTATATTCATAATGACATTTATTTGTTATGGGTACTTAATTTATGTGATGTTTAATAAGGTTGCCAAGACACTATCATAAAATTCAATGTTAAAAAATCAGTTTCAAAGCTAAGAGAAATACCGAACTATTATTAAGCCACGGGAACTCGGCAGCGTAACATTCTTATACCGGTTCTTAGCTGCCAAGGGCTTGAAAAGTACATTGGAGTTGGCCATAGAGATAGACTGTAAAAGAGGTCAAGAAGTGGGAAAAGAAGCTTAAACCATTTTTATGGAAAAGGGAAGGCAGCAGCAAATGGAGGCGCAGAATAGGGGAAAGGAGCTTACTGCAAAACCCTTTTGGCCTGCAAGTGGAAAAGGAGTGCATGGCATTCATTTCACATTTTTGATGTAACACATGCTAGTAGGACAAAAGCGACCAGTAAGGAAAAATGTTAACTGTCACTCTCTGACTTCTTGTTTTAGGTGCCGGTCAGCACCCTTTGCTTTCAAGCGCCATCTGGAGAACAGAGATCAGTAAGTAAGATGTAGGGGGGAAATGGCCAGTAAGAGATGGGATCTAATTGGTAACAATGGGCCTAGTGTTTTGTTTTCTAACTTCTGACCTTAAATTAAGTATGCAGTTTCCTATTATATTTCCTCTCCCTGTGTGAGCCATACTGAAAACTTTCAAGCTCAATACAAGTAAGTGCAATATAAAGGGACACAAATCAACACAAAGAGCCATGGTGAATGTTGCAAGCCTTATGTTTGCAAACATGTTTTAAAATACTTTTAATAATGTCCTGTAGTGTCTGAATGAGCCATGCAGATACGAATAGTGGGGAAATTAGTTTGACTTGAATTGGTCCACATTAGGATTAGTTAGCGAGAGAAGGTACTAAATTGCCACTGCTCCCTTTACCTCAACAGGGAACCCAGTTCCAAACACTTCCTCTCAGAAGACAAGATGGCGACCCGTTTCAACTCCCTTAGCCTGGACAATGACCACGTTTACAGTTCCAATGGCTTCCCTATCCATAATGAAGACCCCATGTGGCAGCAGGCGTACACACAACTGAAAGAGCTGCAGCAGAGGTAGTAGAGAACCAGAACGTGGAGGAGTCCAATTTTTGGACTTCAGGCTCCAGGATCGGCAGCCAGCATGGCCACTGGTCATATTGGCTAGGAATTCTGGGAGCTGCAGTCCAAATTGTAACCTTTCCGAAGGAAACTGCTACAGCTTTTTTGCTTCAGGAAGGCGGCTCAGGGAATGAAACTAACAGGCTTCCATTGCAAAATATCTTCCCTAATGCAGGCTCTCCCAAGATGGAGAGAGTGAAGAAACCAGCTCAACAGATGAATATGAATCCAGCAATGTAATTGTGGATGGGGAATTCCTCATGGCAGACTGCCCCATGCTGACACATCCTTCCTTCTTACAAGAAGGCTTTGGCAGAATCAGCATCATACCGGAAGAAATATTCCTCTCTCTGTAAGTATAGCATGAACCAAGGGCAAAAAATACAGGAAGGACATCTCATCTGTAGAATAACCCTCTCCAAGCCTTCTTCTTTCTCACAGGAACCCTTGTACTGAAGTCGTTCTGTGGAGCCCCCATGAAAGTTCAAGCTTGCGCACTATCCGAACCCTGATGTCGCTACCATCTTCCGTGAGCTCTCCTCCACAACTTCAGCAGGACGTGTCGGTGAAACAAGAGGAAATGGAAGCATGAGCCTTCGTCCATCTTGTTATTCTGCCTTTTCAAGGCTAGAATTGTCTCTTCAGTTGACGTGTCAGATGTCAAACAAATGGCATTATTATCTAGCCACACGTGGTACCCACAGATGTTTTCCATCAGTATATCAACTTTCAATGTCTTCAGTCAATTGCAATAATCCCATCTTCTCTCTTCTCCTAGATAGGAAGCATGTATGCAGCCATTTCTGGTGTACATCTTGTCATGTGCTGCTGTTTCTCTTCCAATAGGAAACAAGGCAACACAGACTAAAAGTGCTGAGAGGGTGCCAGATGGTGCTATGACTTCAAATCTGTTTCAAAACAGATTTTTAAATTTTTTTATACCTTCTCAGAGGTCAGACTTTAGCTTGCAGCAGAAAGATAAAGGAAGGTCAACCAACAGTTCTGTCTTGACCTTTCATGTAAGAAAAACCTTCTAAACCAGAGGTTGTTAACCCCCGGTCCGCGGCCCGGTGCCAGATCGGGCCATGGAGACAGATCTTCCCCCCCCCACTCCCCTCCCCACAGCTGCTTTGCGTGGCATATGCGTGTGCCAGCGTGAGCGCTCCCCCAGCCCTTCACGCATGCACCCGACAGTGTGTGTGTTCATGCGAGGAGGGGTGCCCCGTCTTCCTCAGATGCTCAGCTGGTCTGTGGTCCCAAGAAGGTTGGGGACTGCTGTTCTAAACCCTTTACTCCCGCCATGATCTCCATGTGGCTGGCCTCCAAGTTATTCCAGAGGCACCAAGACGTGGCACTGTGACTAATTCTGCTTCTTGACACCGATGGAAAGGAGACCATGAAAAATAAAACCCACAGAAATAGTTTCATATCTAAATTTCTTTATTGAATAGTGGTGTTTCCTTAACAAGTTTAATGCCATTAACAGTGGGTTAAAACAAGATGTTTTAATTATGTACATATTCATTTTTGTGTATATAAAATAATTCATGAAGCAGACATATTGCACAGTAAGAAGGTCCCCATATTTAAAGACAACAGAAAAGAGGGCAGAGGACATTTCAACATGATTTTACCCACACTTTGGGGAACTGCAGATTGGAGACCACCTATCAGACCCAAACAAAGCTGTATATTCCTAGTTTAGCGTTTGTACCTCCTCTTCCAATTTAATTCCTCAGCTGTAGGAACGGAGGCTGGGCAGACAGAATGGTGCCCCAGACACACAGGAGGGAAGTTGTAGAGAGACACTTTTTGCCGTTCTACCTAAATTTGAACACCATGTGGCTGATCCTCTCAATAACCTCTGGCTATTTCTCTCAAAGGCTCAGGGGTTAACAAAGCTCCAGACTGTAGAAAGGAACACCGCCCTCATTTCCATTCAAGGCCTAATTACCACATTCTTATCCCATTTCTGAGCAAACAATGACCAGTCTTGCTCAGTGACCACACAAGGAGACTCACGTTTGCTGGACTTCCCCAGTTCCACTCTACCCTTTCATAAATCACAAGCATATTTAAAGAGGAGCAACATATTATCCCCAAACCCGGTTAATGTGAAACATATTCTCCCCATTCCTCACAGCGCCCAGTGATGGACGTCTGTGCTAGACCGCAGTGACAGCATCAGGTGGGGATACAAGAAAACAAGAGTTTACAGGCAAGATTGCTGAAGGGTTTCTTCAGTTTTGTCTTGGGAAGGGAGGGGACTAAATCCCCTAAACTCATTTGAATCCCAAACACTTCTATTAATAATTGGTTTCAATGGTTTTTTTTAATATTCTTGAATATATCCTACTGCCTCTGCTTCTCAAGCACAGTCACCACCAAGGAGGGACTTTTTCATCATAATTGTTCATTTTCCTTAAGGGCAGCGGGGTGAGAGGAGTGCAATTCCAGTACTGTGAGCATCCACACAGATATCTCATGCCAAGCCCCACCCCACCACATGAAAACATACAGCAACTATTTTCAGCCACTTGGTCCTCCGCAGTCCAGTCCTCAGAATGTAAAGTTGGGGAGGAAGAAGAGAGTAGAGAAGGGGAAAGGAGATGTTGCCTCTTCAGCAGCATTTTTTGACTGACGGTTTCTTTTTGGGCTTGTTGATTTTGACCACTTCGTTCTGTTGTTGGAGGCGTGCTAGGTTTTCTTGCTTGGCTCGGAGCACCATTGCCGTGATGGCATTGAACATCTAGGGGAAAGGAGACAAAACGCCCAAAGGGTTAATTTCTTTTACGGCCGGGTTCCCCCTTCCTGCAAGATGCAGAGGCATTGCTCTTCAGGCATCCAGAAGAAGGATGTGTTTTCCCACATCAAGGCTACATACCATCTCCCCTCCACAACCATCCCATCCGATACCTCTTCAACATTGAGATTCTCCTTGGCGCTGGTCTCAAACAGCCGCACCCCCATCTGCTCGCTGAATCGCCGGGCGTCAGCCATTTCCACTTGCCTCCGTGAGGGGTCCTCACATTTATTGCCCACTGACACCATTTGGGGAGTAAAGAATAGGAGGGGGGGGAGAAGAAAGGCATCCAACAGCTATCAGTATTCCGTGGAGAAACATTGGCAAACTCATCTAAAGTGACAACAATACGTCTAAGTCCCAACCCACCTCAAGGTGAAGTTGTTCCTCAAAGTTAAAAGGATTCTTAAGTTAATAAATCAAGACAGTCAAATTGTTCAATACAAACGAAGCTATCTTAATTAAGTCAAACTACAGCACCCTTTCTTCAGCAGTTGGATTGTCTTGGCATGGCTTTTCCTTTGAAAATATTTAGGTTTTTATATAGCGAGGAACCATAGAAAAATGATAAGTCAATCTCTGGCATATCCTGTTTTAAAAAATATGAACACCATTCTCTCCCCAAAATTTTGTAGGGTACACGTAAGAGTAGCTAAACATAAATAGTCTGATCCAATGCGAAGCAGTTTACTATAACACAGCAAGAATTTGGTATATTTATCCTTTTGTTATTTCTTCTTTATTTGAGAAAACTTATCAAGAAATCTGGGGCCATTCAGATCTGGAAAAGAAGCTCTCCAGATATTTTGTGCTTTCACTTCCATTAGCCATAGGTGATCAATAGTGAAGGATCATGAAGTATAAAGTCAAAACATCTAGAAAGGCAGTAGGTTGGCCCAAAGGGTGATCTCAATTTTGGTCACAAAGCCAACAACTGTCCTGCAATCCACAAATTGCAAAGCTTCTGGGAATATGGCTTCCCTGGTCTTCAAGGGAATGTCATTAACTCCACCCCACACAAAACAATATAAAACCTCCCTCCCCCAAGTATCACACTTGCATGAATTGCTGGCTGGCTGGTTTAAATTTCTGTCCTACCTTTCTGTCTCAAAAAAACAAAACAAAACCCAACGGCAGCTTCCAAAATTGACTGCATTTTCCATAGTTATCTTTGAAAAGGATGGCTCTGATGTTATATCCGTTGAGGAGTGTTGCATCTAGATCAGCTAGGAAGTATTAGATGATTAGCGAGGACACACTTTATTCTGGTGTGAATGACAGCCAAACATCTTGGGAATATGGCTAGCCTTAAGACTGCAAAATACGTATTTCTTAAAGTGCCAGATGGCACCGAGGAGGAACATATGGTTCAAATGATGGAGTTTACTCACCCAAAATCTTGCAGACACTGTCACAGTTTTGCCCAATCTCGTGCAGCCAACGTTTGACATTAACAAATGACTCGGCATTTGTCACATCATATACAATGATGACGCCATGTGTATTACGATAATACCTGTCCCAAGAAGGCAAACAACTCTCAGATGGGATCTGAATACCAAAGTAAATTTCCCCACTTCTCAAGGAACGTAAACAAAACAAGGACTTTCAAGCTTTAATACCCAGATATTTAGAAAATATTTATCAACTTCTATTTGTTAGAAGTTTGTCAACTTCTAACAAAGTTTTAAGGCTGCTTTCTCCTCACTCCCTCCAACTACATTCTACCCAATTAGGATTTAGGGCCTCCAGTTCAAGAGTCCCAAATAAATCCTATCATGTTCTGTCAGAATACCCCATTATCCCCACTTGCGTCTCAGACTCACGTGGAGGTGATGGTCCGGAACCGTTCCTGTCCAGCAGTGTCCCAGATCTGCAGTTTCACTCGTTCTCCATTTATCACTAGTGTCCGAATTTTGAAATCTACACCAATGGTCGTGATATAGCTGCCTGGGGGAGAAATTTGCAAAGGAAGAGAAGAGTCAGAGCAGAGAAAGGCAGCAATGCCACCAATAAGACTGAAATAAATCAAGTAACTTTTTTTACAAACAGATGGGAGAGAAAAGTCTTGTAAAAAAATTCAGAGGAAAGGATGGACGAGAGGATGACATGGAAATACAAGCAGGTAATCAAGAATGCCATCTGTAACTCTCCCAGTCAACTGATACTGGCACTTCAAGAGATACCAACCACCACAATGGAAGGAACTAGATTAGAAACAGGATCTGGAGCAACCAGGTCCAACCCTGACCTTGCCCAGGCATCCAGTGGTTCCCAACCTTGAGTCCCCAGATGTTTTTGGGCTGCAACTTCCAGAAATCCTGGTAAGCATAGCTAGTGGGGAAGGCTTATGGGAATTTCAGTCCAAGAACATGTAGGGACCCAAGATTGGGAACCACTACACTAGATGACCTTGTTCAAGTCACTCCATCTATGGCATTATATCTGTTCTGATTAAAGCCCTTGTGAAGGAGGTTATTGTTTTACCTTAACATTAACCTCCTACACAAGGATTATTATCAGAACAGATCTAACACTCGGAGATAGACACACAGATATAATAGAAAAAAATGGTTTTATACAACCAGTTGGTTAACTGGAATTATGTCACTTATTATTTTAATTTGCCCACTGAAAACAAACTTCAGGAGGTCCAAAAAAGTTGAGTCAACGAGAGAAGTTGCATGTGAGGGAAGGAAGAGCACGGATTCAACCTAAGGACACTTGATACAGCAACATTTTAAAAGAATACTCAGCCTGCAGTTGTCAAGGATTTAGCCATGGCTTAATCAGCAAGGAAAATAAGGGGTGAAGCCATTAAATTGAACTATTAGATTTTTTTTAGTTATGATTTTTTGTCTCTTTTTTCCGCATCTTTTTTAGTTTTAATAAAAGAATAAAAAATTTAAACAAGTTAATTCCTCTTCTTAGGTACTGTATATTAAATTCTTTCCTACTATGCCCTTTTTAATACTATAATTTCCTTCCAAATACTAAAACTCTGTTTGGCAGATAACAGCTTGTATTACCTATGCATGCTTTAAAAGCCAGTCGTTCCCAAATGTGAGACCCCAGCGGTGAATGGACTTCAAATCCCAGAAGCCCCAGAGAGCATGGCTAGCTGTCAGGAATTTTGGGAGCTGACATCACACAAAATCTAGGGATCAAAGCTTGGCAATCACCGATAAGACCAGACTGTCTTGCAATAGGTTTGCAGCGTGGTAGGTGTTGAGGTAAGAACCCCAGTTTATCTGAAGAGGCATAATACAAGACAGCAGTTACTCACCAGAAAAGGTATTGTCTGCAAAACGGAGCAGGAGGCTACTTTTCCCAACTCCTGGATAGCAAAGGGGAGGGGGAAAAACTACAAAATTTAGATATAGTTGAGTCCTTCTCTCTCTCTCTCACACACACACACACACACACCCTTCCCCATTTCTAGCAGCCTCACCTTGCAAACACAATCATCTCAGCAAAGGCTGCAGGCTCCCCCACCCAAAGCAAATACGCTCACCCTGTCCCTGCATATTTACTCAAGGCAGCCACTCCCATCCAAGGCTACTGTGTCCCATTCAGGAATCGAAGGAGAGTGGCAGAGAAAGTTGACAAGGGATTACAGGGAGAAGACTGGGATTGTGGATCACCTCACATGACTTCATTGAATCCCATGATGGGAGTGGGAGGGTAGGTGGGATGTGGAGAAGCGGCTAGTATCCCCTTTACACCAAATAGCCAACAAAGCCACACAGTGGATTTGGATCCATGACATCCAGAGAGAGGGACGAGAAGGACGTTCCTTTCAAGGGCTCTGTCTATAGCCATTCGCACATGATGGCATGAAGCAACCAGGCCATGTCGCAAGGTGGGGGTCACATCCAGAGGGTGTCCATGTCGACATCCCCCCGGACGGAAAGAACCTTGTGCTCTTGGCTTCTCGAAGCCCTCCCCTTGTCCTCCTCATTTCTCTCCCCCAGTTTTTCCTCCTGTGGAGGCTGGGCCTGCTTTCTTCATAGCTTTCAAAAAACCTAGTCGACTCTGCAGCTGCTGTGGGAAGCCCGCCAATGCTCAGCTGCCACAGCACAAGGGAAAAACCCCCAAAGAACTCCCCACAGACCTCTCTCTTGGTCGTGCGCTGGGTCACTGAGGCAGTCGGAATTCCTCTTTCACACACATACACACAGAGGAAGGAACGCGCTGCTCATCACGGGCCAGGCCGAGACATTTTGCTATGTCAAAAGAAGCCCAGATGGCACTCCTTCCCCATTCCATGCCCCCCCAAACTGAATAGCTGGAATTTTCTCCTACACCGTCAAGGGGAGCGTGCTCTTCGCCTCCCAAAATGGCAGCAGGGTAGCTCCAGGAGTGCCAGAGAGCCCACTGGTCACACAGCTTACCCCTCTAGCGCCTTGTTCCTCCCTGTCCACATCTGCCAAGAGGATGACTGCCCTACTCTGTCAAATGGTAAGGCCAGCCTTCTACATATATGTACTGTACACCGTCCACCATCCATTTTAACTCAGACCAGTTGTACATTCCTGACATCCCGAAAAGGTTCACTGAGCAGACCCACCATGCCCAATGCCAATGTTAAATTAAGGCCTTCCTCTTTCACCCAGGACAGGGTGTGTGATGTGACCATCCAGATATTGGTTGGACCGCAACTCCCAGCATCCCTGACCCCTGGCAATACTTGCCAAGGTTGATGGGAGTTGCAGTCCAGCAATATTGAAAGGCCACACCTTCCTCAGCCCTGCTGGGAAAACTATCAGGAACCTTTGGAACCACAAACATTGAAATGTCAGATTCTTGGCATAGGTTACATTCAATTTTATGTCCCAAACGTTTAGCCTGCCTTTTTGTTTTAAAAAAATTGCATGCACATAGGGGCTAACACTATAACGCTAAAACCATGACGTACAAGGCTCACCTCTTCCAACCAACAGAGAAAGCAGATGCAAACCTATTTGCAAGGCACCCTAAAAACAGTGCTAACAGCCATGGCACCATCAAACAGAAGTTTGTGGCTGAAGTCAGGGACCACATTCATAAAACAGAGTGGAAAGCATTCATTCCTCACAAAAAATGTGGCTGAAGTCAGGGACCACATTCATAGAACAGAGTGGAAAGCATTCATTCCTCACCAAAAAAAAGAGAGAGGACATTAGCCTATGGAAAAGGAGAGCAAAAAAGGACACTTAACTGCATGAAACTGCCTATGCTAGTTTATATGTTCAGATGCAAATGGAAAATAATTTCATAAATTTGAACTGGACACTTAACTGCATGAAACTGCCTATGCTATGCTAATTTATATGTTCAGATGCAAATGGAAAACAATTTCATAAATTTGAACTGAATCGCTATGCACCTTCCTAAGTGGGGAAGACACTGACCAGCTGACTTATTTGTCTGCTGCCCGGGCCAAAGTCTGCGATTCCGCCCCCTCATCCATATTTATCTTCAGATCAGACCAGAATGCCCTTCAAATGGAGGACACCTTCAGAAGGAAGACTGATGGGAGGATTCTGCTCCCTAAAAGGTGACGCATGACTGGTCTGCCATGGAATGAGCTGGAAAGACCCCACAAGAAAGCAGGGCTCGCTTCCATAACACTGAAGCAAGTGAAGGAATACCCATTATTGCATCAGTAGGAATGGAGAGAAAGCTAGAAACCTGAACTCAACAGGGCCAAAATAGAGACTTTTTTTAAAGGTAGCAAAACATTTAGGACAGAAACAAGGTGCACTTCCAGGCATAAGGCAAAGTGCTTGTTTTAAGCTATACAGCCTATACAGTGGTGGTCCAAGCTATCTTAAGGTCCTTGTCTCCCTTTATGAGCCTGTCCAGATTTTAAGGTCTCAGGAGAGGCCTTTGTCTTAGTCCCACCAGCAAAATAGAGACTTTTTTTAAAGGTAGCAAAACATTTAGGACAGAAACAAGGTGCACTTCCAGGCATAAGGCAAAGTGCTTGTTTTAAGCTATACAGCCTATACAGTGGTGGTCCAAGCTATCTTAAGGTCCTTGTCTCCCTTTATGAGCCTGTCCAGATTTTAAGGTCTCAGGAGAGGCCTTTGTCTTAGTCCCACCAGTCTCACAGACTCCCTTTATGAGCCTGTCCAGATTTTAAGAGCCCTGCCTTTTTGTTTCTCTTAGTCCCACCATTCTCACAGATATGCTTACTGGGAAACATGGGACAGGGCCTTTTCTGTGGCTGCTCCCAGACTCTGGGACTCCCTCCTATGGGAGGCCAGGCTGGCCCCATCTTTGCTGTCCTTCCACAAGCAGACAAAGACCTTTCTCTTCAGGCAGGCTTTTTAACCAAAATATATAACTCGGCAACAGAGGGAGCAGAGAAAGATGGAGGAGAGAGTGAAGAACATATGTTGTGACATGTAGTTCAGCAGTTCATGGACATGATGTTAGAAATAGCACTCTAACAGTGAACTGTGATGATGAGCGGTGACTGGAGTGTAACTCATATGAGGCCACTAAGGCATCACGGAGGTACCAGGAGGCTCAAGGAAAATAAAAGGTTTGCAGGACTTCCCAAGAAATCTCCTTAAAAGTGGGGAGAAAGTCTAGTGGGGGGCAAAAAAGAGAGAGAGAGAAACCACCCCATAATCTCTAAATATGCTCAAAGGGCACAGAAGGTTGAATCTTGGGAGATAGAGGGTATGAAATCATGTACCCCAAGAAAAGGCACCCAATATAGCAACATTTTCTTGTAGGCCCCATTTAATCATCTCCAAAGGCAAGCTGCCAGTTTAGAATTCAGAAGGCTTGCCTAGAGAAAGCTGAATGGGATCAAGGCAGCTGTTCCCCATCTATCCTCATCCTTTTATCTGCTTTAGGAGCTAATTTTCTTCGGGATTAGAATGGAGAGAAGCTGGGAATCAGACAGAGGAATGTAGCCCGCAGCTGCATGAGCCCTTTCCAGCTTTCTCTGCCCATCTTCAAGGGAGCCTTCAGAACACTCGGCAGTCACAGAAACTGTGCACGTGTACATTAAGCAGGACGTGTGGTACAGTGGTTACAGTGCTGGATCAAGCTTGGAGACACCAGGATACAACCCCCACCCCCTGGTCAGGTCACCGTGTCACAGCTTGACCTACTTCATTGAGTTATTCTGAGAATAATATTGGGGAAGAGTGCAAGTGAGCAAAAGAAACATGATGTGAAAGATATTCACCATCCCTTCCATCTTTCTCCACTCTCTCTGTTGCTACTTCTGTACTAAGCATCAGTAAGTACCTAAACGTGGGGTTCATAAGTCAAAAACACATCCTGGTTTAAAGCAGGACAGAAGCAGAAGAGGAATTACAGAGTGCAAGTGAGCAAAAGAAACATGATGGGAAAGATAGTCACCATCCCTTCAATCTTTCTCCACTCCCTCTGTTGCTACTTCTGTGCTAAGCATCAGTAAGTACCTAAACCTGGGGTTCATAAATCAGGAACACATCCTGGTTTAAAGTGAATGGCTAACAGAAGCAGAAGAGGAATTATGGCTAATTATCAAGGCCCTGGCTAAAGGTCAGACTCATGCAAGGTGTAGGATCAGGCATTCAATAAGGCATGTGACGTTGTCAATTATATGCAGTAACTTCTACAATTGTTCTTGCACATGCGGAAATACCCAACAGGATTCTGGCTGATTTATCTATCCTAGCTGCTCCAGCTGAGTTAGTTGCAGTCTCAGCTGTAGATGACATGCACAATTCTCTTTCCTCCTTTGTTTATCCATTTACACAAAGAGAGATATAAGTAATACGCACCACTGTCTATTAAATGAGGATTCTTGGCTTTCTGGTATGTCCTAGAGATGGGACGGTTGCTGCTTTTGGACCATAACTCCCAGAATGCCCCACGGTGCTGTGAGATAGTGTCTAGAGAATTCTGGGAGCTGTAGTCCAGAAACACCAATCTACATAACTGTACTACAGTATGTGTAAACATAGCCACTGAGCAGGTGGGCTTACATTTGGCTACTTCATGTAGCCAGGCTCTTACTAAATGTGCAAGGCGCCATATCCTGAGCAGCTTGCCATCAACATGGGCAGCAATGTGGTACAGAAAGTTTACCACTACAGTATTTTTCCACATGGGATATCTTTTTCCATTTCAAAAGATATATTGATTCAGAAAACTAATGAGTAACATAGTGAATAGATACCGTACTAGTCATGCTGGAAAGCTTCAATGTTTTCGGTGACTTCTAGTTTGTTACCCAATGTCAGCTAACTCAAGGTGTTGAATATTCCAGGAAGCTTTTCTGATGCTATTTTTGCCTTCAGAAAAACTCGTACTGCTGATTCATGGGGCTCTCTATCTTACAGCCAGCAATGACCTCCTACAGGTATATTCAAGCCCTCTGCTATTTAATCACGTGGAAGTGACAAGGATTAAAGAGGCCCTGGCCCTCTTTAGGTCCTTCAGTCTATCATCATCACAAAGATTCCCAAGACCTAGAGGCCTCTGAGATGTATGTATCTCAGGGTTCTAAAATCTGAAGAAAAATTATAATTATCCAGAATCCTCAAGCTACCTTAGCCAAGGTCATTGAGGGATCCTGGGAGTTACAGCTCAAAAAGTAACTTTTCCGTGCCCTTCCCCAAATAGTTTAGGGCAACTGGAAGATGACCACCTGTTGCTTCTCAGCAACCAGACCTGCTAGCCATAAAGGGCCACCAAAAGTCCGTTTTCTCATTTTCCTTCTAAACCAAACATTAGTTCTGTCACAGTGAAACAGAAAGAGACCTGGAGGCTGAAGATAAGGAAGAAATAATTTTAGCAGAAAGTCTACCCTGCCTGTTTCACATCTCCCCTGCCAACTGTAAGTGCTCTGGGGCAGGGCACCACATAGATGCCTTTTCTCTGCATCACCTGTAAAAGCATGTTGCTGGAGGCAATTATTATTGGTTTCAGCAAAGTCTGCTAGGAACACCACCAGACCTCCTCCTCTTGCTGCTTTCAACCTGTTCTACTTTCTTTTTTCCCTTTTCTTTAAACAAGACTGTCTTCATATCCGGGTTGGAATTGCTTTTAATAGTCGACATGCAAGCAGACAAGGGTTCTCAGAAGAACGCAGAGGAAGGAAATAAAGAGTTTCAAATACCTGGGCAAGATTGAGGGTGGGAGGGGGAAAAAAACTAACTGCAAGCAGCTTGAAAAGAAGACTGGCAGATGAGATCATAAAGGGGGGAGGAGGAGTTCCACTGAACTCTGCCACCAGAAGCACGGGCCCCTGGGAGATTGCACACAACTGCACGCACACACACACGCACACACACAGCCCAGAACACCACAGCCAGTGGGAAGACCAGCGTTGGCGCCTGCCTTTGGAACGAGCAGCTGCCGGAAGCTTGCTTTCTCCCTTTCTCTGCCCCTTCCAGAGGGAACTCTGCCCCAGCTGTGGAGAGGAAGGACACTCTCGCCTGTCACAGGCCAGAGGAAAACAGTCTCTGAGGGGCTGCGTTTCCTCTTTTCCCAGAGAGCCAGTGATGAAAGATTGCTTTTGGCTCCGAAATTGGATACCAAAGCTTGCAAACCCGCCTCCCGTGCGTTTCAGCGTCGGCAAAACCAGTCTCCTGCAGGATAAACAGGAAACTAATCTCAGGCCGAGCTCGACCCCAAAAAGGCTCTGAAAAGTGACTTGTTTGGACCACAACTCCCATCATCCCCCCACAGCCCACCTGGTCCTGCTGGTTGGGGAATGATGGGAGCTATAGTTCAAGTGAGGGATATTTTGCAAGCTTCTTCCTGTACTTTCCCTGTTTCCTTTCTCTGGAGAATCCTGCCCAGAGGGCAGGATGTGCGTCTCTGCTGTGTTTTGTGTACAACACCCACAAGCCGTCTCCTGCGGATTGAATTTTAATGGCAACCAGCCATTAAGGAGACAACTTGCATACACATTAATACATATTAACAAGAATTAGCAGCCGTTTCCCTGTGCTGTGGAAGAATCTCTCATTCCTACTAACACCCCAGGTTTGATAGCGGGCACACGCCAGTTGCTCTCACAACTCCCGACAGCAATATTTTGAATCTCTATTCCAGTCGTTTCGAAATGCAATCTAAGGACAGCAGCCTCTCCACACTCAAAATCCTGCATAGCCAGGAAAAGGTGGAACCACAGAGAGAGGCCTTCCTCCACATCTGTTTAATGCAATCTTGCCCCATCTGTAAACTCCCCAGATGTTGTGGGTTAGAACTTCCATAATTAGCTGCAGATGATGGGAGATGTAGTCCAACACATCTGGAAAGCTGGATGAATGAGTTATGATCTGAAGCATTCTTTCAGCAGCTGAAGAGGGTGTGCAAAGTACCAGCACACTCTGACACATGTCTTCTTGGGAACAAGAACTCCCAAGTCCAGCTGGGCTTTGCAAGTAGCACAGGTATCAAGGTTTGCATTTTTGAACAGCAGAGCTGCCCAGGGAATTCTGGGATTTATTGACCTCAGTGAATGCCAACACCCCTTCTCAATCTAGCATGCTAAATGTCAACAAGTCCCATCATGCTTTGCAGGTTCTGGAAGCGATCTCTTGGTAGAGGATTCTGACCAACCCTCTACCAAGAGATTGCTTCCAGAACCTGCCAAGCATGATGGGACTTCTTGAAATTTAGCATGCTAGATTGAGAAGGGGTGTTGGCCAATTAGCAGTCTTGATGTTAATTGGCCAACAGGATTTGCAGTCAGAAAAACCAAATCTGTGCATTTCTACTGAATAGCTACAGGGGGATGGAACTTAGAATCCCATAACATCCGGAGAACCACAAACCCCATCATCCATGATTGGTGGCTATGGTGGATGATGTTCCTGGACTCCAATTCTTGGTAGCTTGCTAACTGAAAGTCTTCCTGCCCTTGGTCCAAGTTGCCAAAAGAGTTAGATCAGGGCCTTAAAAGCATAAATGGCAATATATGAACGAATGAGTACTCTAAGCATACCAGAGTATTGCAGGATATACCCAAGAGGGTCATGTCTGGAACCCATTCAATGAAGCATGTTTTCAGAAGCATTGTTCTCAGATGGCTTTGCTCTACATTCACCTTTCCTCAGAGTATTGAGAAGCAGTTAATGTGGGCTTATGAATATTGCTTCCCTACCCTAAAAGTGACTTTAGGTTATTCAGAAGTGGGAGGCCTCACAGGTTGGCGCACCTAGGTGCAAAGGATGCTGGGAATCCTACACACCAGCATTACCCGAGACTCACGGAAAAACTGCAGTTGTAAGCTGTCACACTGGCATAATTCAACTCATGGTATGTCTTTAAGTAACCTTCCCATAAAATAACTCTGTGGGAACATGAGAGGCTGAAAGAAAAGCAAGGGGTTGGGGGGGAAAAAGAGAACAAAGAAAACAGAACTAAAGGAGAAAGCCGAAAGGTAAGAGGATCTTGTCAAAGTCAGATGTATTTATTCTGTATGAGAATATCTGCACATATGAACCAGATACGGAGTAGGAAAGGGGTGGGTTTTTTAAAAAGGCATCACAGGGAAGAAAGGACAAGAAACTGCTTCGCCTATGAAAAAAGCTCAACCCACACCAAAGAATGACAACAGACAGAAAACAATGGAAGCAGTAAAGATTGAAGAAAGAGATTAAAAGGAAGGGAAATAGATTGCAGGCACAAAGAAAAACCTGACAAGCAAATAAACAGGGAAGGGAAGAAAAGCCATTAAAAGAAGAATGTGAAGGAAAAAAATGAGTCAAGAATGAGTATGTGAGAAGATAACAGTGTGTGTTTCAAAGAAAAGCAACACGGCTGAAAGGAGAATTTTTTTTAAAGGCGCAACGAAGCAGCCAAATGCAATAAGGCCGAAGAAGGAACAAAATGGGGGAACAATAATGAACCTTTCCTTACCCGAATCCCCGATGATGAGTAGTTTGAACAAGTGGTCATAATCCTTGGCAGCCATTCATGTGCTAGGCCGGCTCCTCCTCCTCTTTTCTGACACAGTTCTTCCCGCTCGGAGGGATTCGCCACCAATTCCCACGCTTTCCAGTGGGGAAATCTGTTCGGCTTCACAGCCCCATGGCAGGCAATGGGGACACAAGGTGGAGAGAGCGCCAATTTTGTCTACATGGAGATGCACCCGGTCTGGTAGGCTCCTCCTGAAGCCGATGGACTGTGGGAAGTTTTCGGTCTTTTATTTCGACAAAGCAGCTTGCGACGTTTCAGTGGGGTGATGCTCCTTCTCCTTCCAAAGGCGCTGCTTCCTCAGAATCAGATGCCAAAGAGGAACAAAACACACCCGGCCAAAGGGGTGTATTTTGTGTTCATGAATTCACCCAACGTGTGGCTGCTGTTTTCGGCTTTCTTTCACACACACCCCAAGAATGTAATATCCCAATCCACAGATTAATAAAATCTTGGCCTTTCCTTGGATGGGGGAGAAGGAGGATGAATAGATAGGAAGGGGAGAAGAGGGAGAAAAATGGCAAAAGGTGTTCTCAAAGGTGTGGTTGACTCCAAATTCAGAGATGAGATACCAAAGGGTTTTCCAGGTTTTTTTGCTTTCTTAAAAAAAAAAAAAACTTCACTTGGAAGTCCTGGAAGGGGTGGGGAGGAGGGGAATGCAATTTGAGACAAAATTAATGAGGGAGAGCTAGTGGAGAGTTTCCCCCCAAAACAGTTAAAATATATATTGCAGCATTTAACAGGGGCACACCAAACTCAGTCCCGCCCCCTAAATCAAAATATTTGATTCCAGGAGGAAAAAAGAAATATGAAGCATATATAAAGAAACACAAAAGTCCACCGCCCCCCCCCAAAAAAATACCAAATCAAGAAAAAAGGAGTCAAGAATTGTTCTACGCTGGGTTGAGAAATATGTAAAGGCTTACGAAGAGAGGGGACCGCAGTTACAAACTGAAGATACCTTTTTTTGGGGGGGGGGGAAGAGATAAAGTACGATGTCAGCGCGACCAAAAACGGAGGACTGGAAGCAAGATGAAAGAAAAGGGGGGGCGAGATGCAGCAATGAGGGGAATTTCCTCCCTCCAGAGAAATCTCTGACGATAGGAAGAGGGGGGGAGAGATCAAGGCAACGAAGAGAAGGCGGAGGGGGGGGGGACGCGGTCGTCAGAAAATGGCTCAAATTTAGCACAGATATTTGTAGGCAAGCAAGATCGCGGTTCAAGGAGGAGTCCTTCCGCGCATTGCAAAAGGAGAAAAGAGGAACGAGTGAGGGTCAATGCAGGGTTTTACATGGAAAGGCCAGGCGGTTGCTGTCGGGGCGGCCCTTGGTCCTCCTCCCAGTCTATCTGCTCCCTTTCCCGGCCGGGATCAGATGACCACGGAGCTCGCAGCCTCGTGCGGG